GATAGGATATTTAAATTTTCAATACTTTAGGGGTTATTCATTAAAGCGAATAATTTTTAGAAACTGTCAAAACGATACTCAAAATTTCTTCCTGAAACTATCCATATTCTCAATTTTATACCTTTACTATTTAAAAAAAAAGACAGTCAAAAAAGTGGCATCCACGATTTCTACGGTTTTACTGAACTGATGTTCCTGAAATTTTTAGAATATTTTTAGTCTTACTTATAGATTTATCTATGTCTGGAACTATCCAAATCAACAAGATTTATAATTTTACAATTTAAAAAAATTCTAAACAGGCAAAAAAAAGTCGTTTCCACGGTTTCTCAAGTTCTACTGGATCGTTACCATAAATTTTTAGTTCCGTTTAGTCTTCTTTATAGTCTCGTCTGTCTGGAACTATCCATAACATCAAATTTAAATTCTTACTATTTTTTTAAATTCTAAGCAGTCAATGTACGATTTCTCAGATTTGGATGATTACCTGAAATTCTTAAATGTTTTATTTTTTTTTTTAGACCTACCTATGTCAGGAACTGTCCCTATCCTCAAATTTAAATCTTTTCTAATTTTAAAAAATTCGAAACTGTAGTCACGATTTGTCAGATTCAAGTGAAATTTTATTTTTAAAATTGTAAGTTTTTTGCTGTATTTTTGTAATGATAATAAATAACTGAGAAAAAAGAATTGACTTTTCCAAGACACCTCAAAAATTATCTGGAATTCATGCCTCTAGACAAATTAATTTCAATAATTTTTATCTCACAATAATAGATTTTCCGATCTTTTCGCAAAAAATCGCATTTTCCCCATAAAGTTTTCCCAAAAAATTAAATATTTGAATTTCGATAAAGGAAACTCAGGGGGTTACCTGCGGAAAACTAGAAGACTAACGATTGAATCTTGAGTTTTTTGATGGCACCAGAATTCTATTTTTCAGCAAGACACGATTGAATAAATGCTACTACAACCCTATTTTTATTTATTTTTTTATTGTTTAATATTTCTTCGCGAAAATTTAACACAACAGTCTTAGGAAGTCATACTTTATTGTACTACTGGTTTCAATAAGAAAGAATTTAACTGTGTCGTCACAAAAATTTATAAACACATGCCCGTTTTTGCACGAATTAAACTTAAATTAATTTATTTCGCCTGCAACTGGAATTTCATAACTGTATATGAGCATTTGTCAATATGAATGCAATATTAAGAATTGTATACACGGCTTGACAGTTGAAACGTGAACAATTGGTGACGAGCAACTAACATTGAAAGTGATTGGAATAAGATGACATATAACGGTAATGTAAGGTTAGGTGATAAAACAAGTGTCTTCGTGCTTTCGTCTTTGTCGCTTTGTGCGCATTGACACAGGCGAATACACTTGGGTATTAACATGTTTAGGGAAAGTGCAAATGAAAGTGAAACTGAAATTAAAATAAAATTACGGTATATTTAAAACAAAAAATTGTATGTAAATATGACATACATATGTACACGTACATATGTAATTGTACACAACAATGAGGCAAACTGCATACAAAATAAGAACAGAAAATTCAAGGAAATGTAGACATGTAATGGAACTAGGAAACACTCGGTTAATAAAAAAAAATAAAATAAAATATAAAAAAAAAAAAAACAAGAAACAAGGGGAACACGTAAGAAATGCGACAGACAAATAGAGAGATTGAGAGAAAGGGATACTGTAAAACATAGAAACTGTTCTGTATGTTGGATGTACTTTAATTGTGGTTGTGTTATTTCTTATTGCACTTTACAGTTGTGTTGTGTTGAAAAGTATTTGGTTAAAGACAATTTGCTATGTAGTATTACTTTTGTAAATTTGTTGTACTTAAATAATAATAATATATTAAATATATAGGTATTTACTTGTATACAGTAAGAATAGTCAAAATATATAGACATGTTAAAATATTATACAGATAAAAAAACATATACATATAAAATATTAATAAACGTATTTTTTGTTGAAATAAGAATAATAATATTTTTTATATGCAAATTAATTGGTTAAACAGTGTGTAAATTTGACAAACAGTACTCACCAGCATAAATCGCTAAAAATATCGAGAGGAATGAAATAACGCTTGCCAAGAATTTCGCCTCCATCTTTGGTATTGATCCGTGGTTTGTACTTTTGCGCTTATTATTGTAATTATAACAATTGTGATTTTTTTACAATTCTTTTAAACTACTATTGTTGATGTTGATTAGTTGCTTGCTGCAGCTGGTGTTGATGTTTATGTTGATGTTATGATTTGCTTGTTATTCTTTTTGTTTTAGAAAATATTGCTGCCACGTCTGTTGGTGATTTTTGTTTTTTTTTTTAATTTTTGTTGTTGTTTAATTTAATTATTGTTTTGACTCTTGCTAAAAGTTGTCGAGATAATCTTCTTGTTTATGTTGTTGCTGTTGTTGCTATATAGTCGTAAGATAATCGGTGTTATTTACTTTTCTTGCATTAGTGATGACCTGTATTGTAAGTTTAATTAACTATCAGCTTAATTTCTCTTGCTACGATGCATATATGTAATTCTAAATTTCAATTTTACTTTTTTAAATTTTTATGTGATTAAATATTTAACTCTTTCGTGTATTTGCTTTAATTTTGTTATCAAACGTTGGTTAACATTGATGCAATTCATTAACGCTTAATTTGCTATATTTAATCCAAAGTTGATCATCGTCTTCGTAATAATCGTCGCCGCAATTTAACGAGCTGCATTTGTACATATGTAAATACAATTGAAAGAGAACAAATAATGCATTTCGTGAGAACAAAGAATCGTTAATCGAATAGTGACGGCAATGACGATCACGACGGCAACAGCAACAGCGGGAATGACGACGATCGGTCAAGATATATACAATATAGATATGTAGGCGTTTGTCGCCAATGATGACAGTAATGTCAGCGCCCGAAAGAATTAAAAGAAAGAAAAGAATAACACATGAAATGTTTAACCTTTGCTCTAAAGACAATGCGCATATTATTTAAAGGAAACATTTTATATTTATACTCAATTTCTTATTTTCTTTTCATGTGTTTGTGTGTGATATATAATATACATATATTTCGTTATAGTTAATGATTTCATATCCTTTGGGGAAATCTTAGAATCAAAATATTTAGTGAACGACCTTAAGATGGCTGCTAATAGGCAAAAATAGACCACACGATTAATCATATACTGCCAAAATACGTCCGTATTTTAACGGCAATGATAATACTGCTATAAGGAAGCATTTGTTTTTCTCGAGTCCTGTAGAGTTCATAAAAAAGAATGTATTTTTTTCGAATCCCGTAGATTTTATAATTTTTGTTTAAAATTTCACGATTTGAATTGCATCCATAAATATGTAAGTATATACTCTCTTCATCATTTCGTACATTCTTAATATCGCTTTATCAACCAAATCAATATATTACAGTAACACAGGATGACCAACAGATCGCACATTTAAGGCCAAAATCCGCCTAAAATATCGAACAAGCAATCAGATGGCAAAAATGCACGGTATGATCGCAAAATAACAAACAGAAACAATGTGAATGGAAAGGCGCATACACTATTTGTTGAACGTCAGTCACCTTAAAGTACAGAACGAAAGAAAAAATGGCGCGAGTGGAAACACGAGGTGAAAGCTCTCTAGAGGCTAATATGCACGCACTATATGTTAAAATGTTGCTTGGATTACACGGTTCACACTGATTTCGTATGCTACATAGGCATATTTCAATTTTTTTATTTAAATTTATATATGTATATACATATATAATAATTATATATAGTAAGTATGTACGCATGTACTTTTTTGCTTTTGGAAGCACGAGGAAACGAAACCGTACCAGTATGAGCGAAAAAGCAGGCGGACACGACAACGACGAGCACAGTACTGACAGAATGTTTTCACAAATTGAAAATCGCTACACGACAACAATAAGGAATCGAAATCAGCAACGACAACGAAAATTACAAGTAGTAGCCACATAAAAATACCTCTATGTCGATTATTTAAACAAGACGGCGAAGCGATAACGCAAATGGAATGACGATAAATAAAGCTATGATTGTTTTATCGGTAAATATGTTACAAGAAATTTTATATTACACTAACAAGACATTTTTATAAAAACAGAAATAACGTCGCGACACGATGACTAACTGAAAACCAAAACTAATTGCAGCGGTGACAATGACGGTAGCGGCTACGAGCACAACATTCGCGAACGACCACAAAAAAGCGACTAATCAAGACCAAAAACGCTATGTAGTGAGCAGCCATCGATACTCACATGTTGCCACTAGCTGCTAGCAGTTGCTGGCGTAAAGGCCACGAGCTCGGACTTGCAATTGATTAGCGAGCACCAAAGGTAGAACACAGAAAAGCGAACAAGCAAGGTAAAGAGCAAATAATCCGCAATGTACTCATTGGGGATCGGCTGATGGAAACCGAGAGAAATGCCAGAACTTTGTCATTATAGCCAAAGCTGCGCAGTGCGGTATTTACATATTTGTCTAAAATATGTGTTTTTGCTCTACTCTGTTAAACACCGTTATTATCTAAATTTAGTTAACTAAAAAATTTATTTATTCAATTAATTTGCAGGTATATAGTTAAATATACAAATGCCATGCAAGTTGTCTCTGCGAGGTTTGCTTGTTTCAATTGATTATCAGTTCGGATCATTATAAAGCTGTTACATTATCACCGGCAATGTAATTGAAATCGAAGTGAGAAATTTGTAGCGTTTATATAACGGCACATATAAGAACAAATAACTAGTTGACCGGTCATATAGCAACAACGTATACTACTTTGGAATAAACCTTAGCGCAATATACAGGCACGTGTTCACCTATTCTAAACTCCATATATAAATGTGTCTGATGTAGACAATAACGACGAAAGGCGTCGGCGCCAAGAATGTTTTATGTATGGCAAACTTTAATTCGGTGCGCGAAAATTTACGGTCAGTGCCGTTGAACTAACATAACATACTTATTTTTATTCATTCTTCAGAGAGTTATCTATGTTTGAGTAAGTGATTTTATCCCCAGCTCAAGATTGTTTAAGGGAAAATTTTAATTATTTATTTTACTGTGAAATTAACACGGTAGAACTTTGCCCTACTTTGGAAATAACTTTTAATAATAACATTGATTTTAGTAGAATTGATATAACGGAATATCTAAAAATAAGAGAGGAAACAAATTTCTGGTTCCACAAAACCGTTAACATATTATCTTTTTACATAGCGTACAGTAGCGCTTGGTTCTCCAAAGTACACTTCATTGATTGATCACATCATACAAGTACACAAATTTAAACCAACTCCGAAAGCACAAACGTACGTTTTCAAAAATCTTCCATGATTTGTTTATGACAAAACTTCCAAACACTGACTAACAACACATATTGACACATACGTGACATACATATACATATATACCAATACACTCATTCGGCACATTACATTGTACTGATGACTGCTGAATACGAGATGGATGACGTTATTTTTGCTGGACACGAGTGTAAACCACTGACGACAACGCGATTGAAGCGAAAAACGAGATGAAACAATAAGAGATGAGGTTAGCTGTTGGCTCCTTGGTACTTTGTCATAGCTCAACTCATACAATGATGCAGTATTGCAATAGGTTGTACCATCACCAAGCTTAAAGCTTAAATGAAGTCAGCCAGCCATTCAGCCTCCGACAATGCACATTTTCTATACACTTTTCTATGCAAGATTAAACTGCATTCCAATAGTAATAAAAGTAGAAACAAATGCAGGCGAGCTAGGAGCGCCACAAATGACAGCATTTGTGGGTGAGGCGATGATGACGGATGCCAATATGTTACTATGTATTAAATGTTTATCTATGTATGGGTGTCAAGTAAACTTTGCGTGTGCATGTGCTCGTTCGCTATTACTAAACGGTGAATCAAATCACGAGTTAACGGCTCAGGAGAAGAGCTAGTCATTGGTAGCGAAGAAATCGGTGGTGATACTTCAATCTTTCTATTGATCAATTTCTGTACAGAACACTTACACTCACATTTTAGTTGCATTTTCTTCACCTATATTGTATTTTATTTTTTTGGAGAATAAAAAAACGAATTGTGAACAACCAATTGTTCACTAAACTCGCAGGCAAAAACAAAAATAGAATTGAGGTGCTCCGGGCTAGTTTATGGACGCAGCGTTTGCAAAGAACCATAGCGGTGAATTTTGGCCATTAAGGGGAGCACCTACAAATTTACAGATCAGCTCCACCTTACTTTCAATCTTATGTGTCGGCTGTAGTAAACCAAATACCAAATATACAAACACTTGCACAAACACTCTGTTTTACCTTACGGGATATACCCAATTCTCATTTATGCAATAATCGTACAACAACAGCAACTAAGTTAAGAACAACATACGAAATGATTTTTTTCTTTCGAAGGAAAATGGCACAAACCCCACGATGAAAACGAAAAATGATGATACACGAGAACGGGCAAAAAATTCCTCCGATGGCCACGGACGACAATGACGAAATTCTTTGCCGTTCCCTTATGTTTTCCTGCTTTAGCAAATTTTCCGTTTTGTGTTGGTATTTTTCGTAGTATGGTTAGTACAGGTGTATGAGTACTAGAGTGTATAGTGTGGATTGTGGTGGTAGAAGAGGATTTGCAGAATGGTAGTGGTTCTTTCTTCACAAAAATTTCATTTTCTTGTTCATCATCCGATTCAAATTTTACTTAATCCTCTCCTGTTCAATATGATTTTATTTCATAGCCATTTTCATGCGTTCACCTTACTCTTTATCCTTTTTTACGAATGCTTCCTTCCTTCCACGTTCCTCTTTTTTCTATCCACGTTCAATTCCAATTCACTTCGCCTTTTCACTTTTCGATTTTTTCTCGTCGAGAAATTTTTTCACATTTTTTTCTTAAACTCATCACTGCACTCTTATTTTCCCGCTGTTGTTCATAATTATTGCATTATGGCAAACTATTCGTCGTCAATACACCTCGCACTTTATAATTATTTTATGAATTTACCTAAGCACAGAATACAGAATTTTATTTTCTTCTATTCTTCCATTGATGATGAATTTTTCACTTCGCTCGCACTTCAGTCAGCGAGTGACCTTAGATGTGCGCAGGGTTGTAATAATTTAACTGTCAAAATCAACCTTGTACCGATTGCAGTGAAACGTTTGGATTTTGTGTAACGAGTACTGTTTTAAATAACCGAAGCGACGGCAATACTGTTCATTAAAGAGTTGCTACTAATTCAAATAAATTTTCAAGAACCTGTAATAAACTATTTATTTTTTATCAAATGTCCTTTCGGAATATCAACAACAATTGATAAAGAAATCAGCTTAAAATTGTGTTTACAAAATATTCTAAATAAATCTGATATTTGAGTGATTGAACAATGTGATACCAAAATATACGTCATTTTTATTTGAGAGGCTTCGTGATAAAATACTACATTTAATAAACGCTCAGTTACAAATCCTGGAAAATCTATAGAAAATATATAAAATAAATACTCATTTTGGAAACTCATGTTTAAAGAGCAACGTATACCAATTGGTAATTGAGGCATTCCACCTGTTTTAATCAAAATAAATGGGGATAATGGCAACACCGTTTACGTAGTAGACTGATAAATTTGTACTAGATTATGTTGGGGGAGGGAAAATAGCATTCATTAGTTTGTCATCACGGTAGTTCGTTGTGAATTTAATGTGTTATTTTTGATTTGTTTTACGATTAATTTGGTTTATATTAGTTATTAATTCGTTTACAAATAATGTGGGGAAAGTAAATACCTTATTAAATCAACGGATATATTATTATAAGGTAAGTGCAATTAAGTTAAAAACTATTTCTGTTGACAACGCCCGGGCGAAGACAGGCTTGACAAATACCTTTGGTTAGTGCTATTGTAATTGAAAGCTTTGTTGTTGGCACATGGGCGTTGACCAAAAATTGAAATTTGTTATTATATTTGAAACACTCAAACTCAATAAGATATTTATGAAAAATCGTCTAATACTAATGAAAAAAATTTGAAAATATGGAAAGGAATGCTGCAAAAGTGGTAGCAGGTGTCAGTGATCACCACTACCACAGGGAAATTCGTGGAATTATAGTGGCAATTCATGGCTTCGGTTTGTGTAGATATCTTTTATATGACATATACCCATATTTTTTACAATTTCCCCTTAGTTAATTCGAATATTAAAATGAAAAGGTTTGCAATTACATTTCCACTTCACCTACCAGCCAACCAGTTTGGTCATTACGCTTTGGCCCCTGGACGTGCGCCCTTCATTAATTAATTCATATCATGATTCATATAAAAGGGGTGAAAAGTATGAACTATATATGTATGAAAAGCGGTAGGTGCTACAACAATAAATATTGAATGAATTTATGTAAATAATAGGAAGCAGTAAGTTCTTACTATATATTGCAAATATGCAGTATTATATATCCACAGCGATCGCTTCAATGCGCACGCGACAGCAGTTTTTGTTTGCCATGCAGTAATTTTGGTTGCATGTGTAACTATTGCAACACTCCAACTAGCTGAGATAGCTAGTCAAGTGTCATAGAGCACATGAAATGCATCTGATAATCTTTGCATGCATATAGCTATATATGTATAAATGTAGTGGTGCGTAAACAACATCCGTATTGTGATAGATAGTAGCTGCAGCCGCATTATTTTGAAATTTAATCCGTCGGCTTTCAAAAATTACCTAACACCGCTATCCAAAAAAAAAAATTCATTTGCATTTGCATTTCGGTTTACATTTATTGGAAAATGTGAACTGTAACTAAAAATGCGTACAGATAACCCCAAAGGTATCAATTGATAACCCCTAAACTAACAAATTGGGTCGTTTAAGTAGTCAGATTATGGAGTTTTATTTATTCATGAAAAATTACAACACAATTGATTAATAGTTTATGTATAAATCAAAAAATAGCAGCACACTTACATATTTTATTACTTCTGAAAATAAAATTTGATTGTTTGGTCTACATGGAAATTTGATTATCCGCTTTGAAACAACGTCTGACAGAATAAATACACAGAACATATACAATATTTGTGTATTTATATTAATCAATCACTATTGTTGTGGTTGCCCTTTCGCAATTCTTAAAGCCTATATTACGTAAATCATTAGTCCATTGACTTTCCGTCCGCTGAAATGAACTCTATAAATACACAAAATGTTCTGATTTCTCAATAGGTTTTTTTTTCTTTTTTACGACGGTGAAACAGCTATTATCCAAAGGCATCCAGTTGTTCGTATCAACGCGCCTAACACGCATCAGCCTGTAGAGAATTTGGCATCGACACGCACTAATTTTAGAGTGTGTTGGATTTGAGGCTATACGACGCAGTGTTTCGGAAACAGCGACTGTTTAGATGGATTTAAAAAACTTAAAAATTCGAATTTCATGTTAACTTAACTTTCATTATTCTTTAATTATCTTTTGTTTACTAAGTTTAAATAATATTGAAATATATTATTATTCAAATATATTTCTGTTGGCTGAAATTAACATTATACATATTTTGTTTGTACGAATTGTATTTTTTTTTACTGTTCACATGTGTGTGCTCCACTGTGCATGTCGTTTTTGAACATGTTCATATGTATGATACAGTACAGTTCGATTTGTAAGCTTGCACTACACTAAATATTTAAAATAGTTCTTTAGTCGTCCTAAGTTATTCACATAAGTGAGTGGCGTATAACCCTTCAGGAATAATATTATTAAACTTAATTTATAATCCTAATTATTTCACTTGCAGAACACTATAGAGAAATCTCAATGAGTCCCAAAGGGATATCGCTATGCGACATGTACTTTTTGCCGCCACTGAAACAATATGTCTTCACGGCTGTGCTTCTTACGCTCTTGTGGAATTCAAGCGCAGTAGTTGCGCAGCAGGATACTTATTACAACACCCAGCAACAACAGCAATCACAGACGTTCAACCAAAATAATCCACAAAATTCCTTCCCAGGTTCTCAAGGATACGACGATGCGAATCAACGCTTCAATACTGATGCTTATAACCCTAATCTCAATCAAAATACAAATACTCGTTACCGCACAGATAACTTCAATGATTTGCCAAATGATGAGCGTCCAAAAACTAGCTACGGCACTGATGAAGACTTGAATTTCGGCCGTGGTAAAACGTCATACAATGTTAAGGCCACTTTCCTTGAATCTTTCCACTCACGAGAGCCGACTTATTTCATTGTATCATCGCGTATGGTACGACCCGGTCTTATCTATAAAGTGGCCGTATCTATATTGCGTGCTCAGTACCCAGTTACGGTGCATGCTAGTATTTCGTGCGATGGTGTGCAAATAAGTGGTGATTCCAAGGATGTGAAAGTGGGTGTGCCTGAGACCATGCTTATGCGTGTGCCACCAACTAGCGTGGCTGGAGAATACAAGCTGCGAGTAGAGGGCTTTTATCAGGACATTTTTGGTGGTCTGGCATTCCTAAATGAAACACGACTGGACTTCTCACAACGCTCGATGAGTATATTCATACAAACTGATAAACCGTTATACATGCAAGGCGAAACGGTGCGCTTCCGTACAATACCGATTACTACCGAGTTGAAAGGTTTCGATAGTGCAGTTGATGTTTACATGATGGATCCAAACAGACATATTGTGCGACGCTGGATATCACGGTACAAAAAAGATTCAAATTGAAATTTGAGTTTATAATAAACAATGTTTTTCTATATTACAGTCAATCAAATCTTGGCTCTGTTTCTTTGGAGTACAAACTGTCTGATCAGCCGACTTTCGGTGAGTGGACCGTACGTGTTATTGCACAAGGACAGGTGGAAGAAGGACATTTCAGTGTGGAAGAATATTATCAGACCCGATTTGAAGTTAATGTAACAATGCCGGCATTTTTCTTCACTACCGATCCCTTTATACACGGACGTGTTATGGCCAATTTCACTAGTGGTCATCCAGTACGTGGCAATCTTACATTGAAAGCTACTATTCGGCCTATAGGGTACTTCAGTAATCAGGTTTTGAATGAAAAGTTCCGTCTGGGTCGTTCGCCCACCGAAGAAGCTGCACGGCATATACAACACCAACAACAAATGTATTATAATCAATATAGTCCAGTACCGACACCGGAGGATGTTAATCGTAATCAAGATATGCTCTATCGAAATCAATATGTGGTTGAACGTCACTATGAATTTGAGGAGGAGTGGCCGTTCTGGGTGCGGAAGCCGGACGTGGCGGAGACATATGACTCTTGGACTAATAGTTATAGGAAAACTCTACCGTTTTTGCGTTATTTTAATGGAACATTCGATTTCAAGTGGCCAATACGGGAATTGGAAGTTTTGGTACCCAATTTGGCGGGTGAGTTGCTTTTCATATTCACATTCACAATTTTTATTTTATTTTTTGCACTCCATTACAATGTCTCGTTTTTAATTTCACAATACAGGAATGGAAGTATTGATCACAGCTACAGTTGGCGAGAAATTCTATGATGAAGTGATATCGGGTTACGCCATTGCTCGCATCTATAATTCCAGCATACGTGTGGCCTTTTTAGGCGAGTCTCCACAGGTTTTCAAACCAGCTATGCCGTTCACCGCCTATTTGGCTGTAGAATATCATGATGGTTCACCAATTGATGAGAATCTGCTGAGAGCAGCCGTTATGGATGTGACCGGGTTTGTAGAAAGCAAAAGCGGCGGTCGACGCGAATGGCCTGCTACGCGTCTACAAATGTCTGCCTCCAGCCCAGGCATTTGGGCGGTGAAAGTGGACATACGCAACGATTTACAACTGGATGATCGCCCACAGTCACGTGATTTTCTAAATGGTGTGGAACGTATGCGATTACAGGCGAGTTTTGTTGATCCACGTGGAGAACGTGCCCAAACAGAACTTCTCATGGTCTCACACTATTCACCTCGGAATCAACATATCAAAGTTTCTACTAGCACGGACACGCCTGTCGTTGGAGAATATATCATCTTCCACATACGCACGAATTTCTATCTGGAAGACTTTAACTATCTGATCATGTCGAAGGGTGTGATCCTAATGAATGATCGTGAGACAATAACAGAGGGTATACGCACCATTGCGGTTGTGTTGAGCGCTGAGATGGCGCCAATGGCTACAATTGTTGTTTGGAAGATTACACTTGCTGGACAAATAGTTGCGGACTCGCTCACATTCCCAGTTAACGGCATATCTCGTAATAATTTCACCGTGTACATCAACAATCGTAAGGCGCGAACTGGTGAAAAAGTGGAGGTTGCCATATTCGGTGAACCCGGTTCATATGTTGGCCTTTCAGGCATCGACAGCGCTTTTTACACAATGCAAGCGGGCAACGAGTTGACCTATGCCAAAATAGTTACAAAAATGTCTTCATTTGATGAGCAAACCAATGGCACTTACAAACATGTCTGGCATACACATGCTGGCACCCCTGATGAGCTTGTTTACTTCCCCGCCTCCTCGTTTGGTATTGATGCGAATCGCACTTTTGCCTACAGTGGCCTAATCGTATTTACCGATGGGTATGTACCACGTCGTTTCGACACCTGTAATCGCACACTCGGCTATGGCGAATGCCTTTCGGGACGTTGCTATCCGCTGAATAAGCAATGTGACGGTTTATTCGATTGTGACGACGGCACCGATGAGATCGGCTGTCGCGTGCGCAATGACACTGAGCTTTTAAATTATCGTAAATATCGCTTTAATCGCATTTTGCGGCACTATGAAAATGTTTGGCTATGGAAGGATGTAAATATTGGTCCACACGGCCGTTATATCTTCAATGTTGAGGTGCCAGATCGGCCGGCCTATTGGATGGTGAGCGCATTCAGTGTGAGTCCATCCAAAGGCTTCGGTATGTTGAATAAGGCAATCGAATATGTGGGCGTGCAACCGTTCTTCATCAATGTCGAGATGCCAGAACATTGCAGGCAAGGCGAACAGGTTGGCATACGTGTGACAGTCTTCAATTATATGACCACACCTATTGAGGCGACTGTAGTGTTGCATGGCAGCAAAGATTACAAGTTTGTACATGTTGAGGAAAATGGTATAGTTCGTTCCTACAATCCACGGACATCATTTGGCGAGCACCAATTCTTTATCT